CACGCCCTTCTGTGTTTTTATATAAATTCCCACCCCCAGGTCCTGTCAATGATATGGGTTGCTTTCAACACAGCCAACTTTTTCTCGCTTATTCTTAGCCCTCATCATCTATTCAGCTTCTCTTCTGTCCAGGTTTACCATCAATCATCCTGTTTACCTACCCCTTTCATACCTCCCTGCCTCTGGGCTTTGTCTTTACCTATCCGGTCAGCTCTCCCCCCACAATGCCTCAGCCAACTCTGTCTTCCCACATATACCGCTTTTTCCTAGCTGCTATCAGTCCCGATGAAGAGTCACCAAACTTGAAACATTAACTCAAACTGCGGATACTGTAAATCAGGAACGAAAACAAAGTTGCTGGAAAAGCTCACCAGGTCTGGCAGCATCCGCGGAGGAGAAGACAGAGTTAACGTTTCGGGTCCAGTGACCCTTCCTCAGAACTTCTGAGGAAGGGTCACCGGACCTGAAATGTTAACTCTATTTTCTCCTCCACAGATGCTGCCAGACCTGCTGAGCTTTTCTGGCAACTTTGAAACATTAACTCTATTTGTTCTCCACAGATGCTGCCAGACCTGCTGAGTTTTTTCTTCCCCACTTCTCATTGAATCAGGGCTGATTATCTCTGATTCAATGGTGATTTGGGAAGAATGAGGGATATGCCAATGCATGAAATTAGGTTGCAATGAAATACAACTCTTCTATTGCTGATAGACCACAGCACCTCATAGATATTCTGTTGGAAGTGCTGAATCTGTTCCTAATCTATCCACTTCAAGTACAATGGTCGTGCCGCACAATGAGAAAACTAGACTTGATCGCTATTACAACTGTGCAGTGGTCACTCCTACCAATATCTCCTTGGACAGAAATTTGCACCAGGTAGATTAAAAAACAGGCTATGTCTGTGGATTGGTTCACTCAGTGTTGCAAAACTAGTCAATGACTTTGTTCTTCATGACTCTGCCGGTAGTGATACTAACAAACTTCTCTTTCTGGTGTACATAGAATGTATTCCAGGTGGCAGTCTTCTATCTCTTGCTACCCTTGGTGCTTCTTCCAAGTGGCATTCAACATGGGGGGGGGAAAGCACTGATTGATCTGCTGAGGGAAGGTGGTAGGTGGTAAATTAGCAGAAACATTTCTTACTAAATATTTGAGCTTCAGCTCAAATGTGAATTTCTATCCAGGACCAATGCTGACGACTTGCGCATAATAAAAAAAATTAAGGGAGCAACTAACCCCAGGGGTCACATAGCTCAATTTTTGATGGGGGTGGTGAGGGAGACATGCGCAAGAGAGAGAGAGAGCCACAAGAATGTGCAAGAGAGTGAGACAGAGGAGATATTAAAGTATCAAGTAAAATTTGAACTTGTGGCAATTGTTAGAAGAACAATTTAAAAACTTCTGACCAAAAGAACAAAAAAAAAATCATATTTTGAACAATGTAACTGCTCATGTCCAAAATAATAGCAGGGTGTTGGCTGGACTTATAACAGAACAAATCCCTTACTTTATATTCAAGCCACAAGCAACACAGTTGGAAAAGAAAAAAAGGATCAAAGCAAAAAACAAAATATCGATTAAAAAAGTAAAAATGCGTATATGTGGACAGGATGAGATGCTATTTGATTTAGCCAGATTTCAAAGTTGGGAAAGATTTGCAAGTCAAAAGCAGAAGCAGGACGGTTGGAAAGAATCAGCAGGAGGCACCCGGGCAAAGAGAAAGAAAGTATAAAGCAGTTTTAAAAGCAACTGCATAATCTGACAATGGCCTCCAGTCACCTAGGAGTCAGCTACATTTGATCTGATCAAATCCAATTTAAAACTGGAACAAAATTTGCAAATTGACATGGAAAAAAATAAACTGTTAGAAAACACTGAGCAAGACAATAACCAAACAAAAAAAATCAAATGTAAACTTCTTTCATGAACACAGCTGTACAAATGGTGAGCTCAGAAATGTTGCTGTGCCCACAATTTGAGTTATTTGCATTGGGAACAATCAGCTTATTTTCCCAGACACCCAGCTCCAAATTATGTCAGAGTTATAGAGATGTACAGCACAGAAGCAGTCCCTTCGGTCCAACTCGTCTATGCTGGCCACATTTCCTAATTAAATCTAGTCCCATTTGCTAGTATTTGTCCCATATCCTTTTAAACCCTTGCTGTTCATGTACCCAACCAGATGCCTTTTAACTGTTGTAATTGTACCACCCTCCACCATTTCCTCTGGCAGCTCATTCCATACACACACCACCCTCAGTGTGAAAATGTTGCTCCTTAGGTCCCTTTTAAATCTTTCCCCTCTCAACTTAAACCCACACCCTCTAGTTTTGGACTCCCCCCAACCTAGGGAAAAGACCTGGTCTATTTACCCTATCCATGCCCCTCATGATTTTATAAACTTCTGTAAGGACACTCCTCAGCCTCCAACGCTCCAGGGAAAATAGCCCCACCCTATTCAGCCTCTCCCTATAGCTCAACCTCCCTCCAACCCTGGCAATATTCTTGTAAATCATTTCTGAACCCTTTCAAGTTCCACAACATTCTTTCTATAGCAGGGAGATCAGAATACTATTGCACGCAGTATTCCAAAAATTGCCTAACCAATGTCTTGTACTGCTGCAACACGACCTCCCAATTCCTAAACTCAATGACTGACCAATGAAGACAAACATGCCAAACGCCTTCTTCACTATCCCATCTACATGCAATTCTGCTTTCAAGGAACTATGAACCTGCACTCCAAGGTCTCTTTGTTCAGCAACGCTCCCCAGGACCTTACCATTAAGTGTACAAGTCCTGCCCTGATTTGCCTTTCAAAAATGCTGCACCTCACATTTATCTAAAATAAACTCCATCTGCCACTCCTCGGTCCAAGATCCTGTTGTACTGAGGTAGCCCCTTTCTCTTTTCTTCTTTGTAGTTTATTCTCCCATCATCTATTCCTGCTACTTTTACAGTCACAAAATCCAGATTTAGTATTTCTAAATATTGCCCACCTCAATCTGAACTACCACCTTCATTTCTCACTTCCATTATTGGGATCGTTAGTAACGTACCTTGCAAAGCACTATATGCCTCTAGCAAAACCATTACCTCTCCCTTCAAGAAACCAAGTCTAAACCTGCTGCATTCTCATGAACTGTCTGGTTCATCTGTGAACATTCTTTTTCTATTAAAATACCTAGGACTGGATTTTATGGACCCCTTTTCCCCCTGCACAGCTACCTTTCAGTGGTAAGTCCACTCTGAGAGGAACAACTAGTTCACTGTCATTTAAAAGTTGTTAATAGGCCATTAATAGGCTGGAGACTGGATTTCTCCCTGTCAGACAGGAAGTCTCAGCCTAGCAGTGTCAGATGGGAGCAATTGCCACCATTGACAATCCAGGCAGACCCCAGTGGAGATTGTTTGTAAAGCAAGATACAAAAAGATAATTTTGGGAGTGGGGGCCACAGCCTAGACTTCTCCAGGGTCAGACTGGCAGCCCACAGCAATAGGATTAAGGGGGTTATGGGGTCATTAAAGAAAAACCGAAACAACTGTGGATGCTGTAAGTCAGGAACAAAAACAAAGTTGCTGGAAAAGCTCAGCAGGTCTGGCAGCATCCGTGAAGGAAAAAACAGAGTTAACATTTCGGGTCTGGTGAGAAGGGTCACTGTTAACGTTAACTCTGTTTTTTCCATCACAGATGTTGCCAGACCTGCTGAGCTTTTCCAGCAACTTTGTTTTTGTTATGGGGTCATTAGATCGGCTGGGAGAGGGAGCAAGTGGATAGGTAAAGGGGGAAGAGGTGATCATGGGGAGATGGTGTCTCTGAGGGTGCGGGCAGTTATAAAGGAGACTCCATTCCTGCTGGCTTGACACCAGCCTGAGAAGCTACCTGCGTGGTGTCGGCCATTCTGCCATGTGTAGCAATAGTGGCAAGGGCAGGATGAGTCCCTTAAATGGGCAGAAGTAGGCAGCAGGAGGGCCGTGTACTGGACTTTACAAATACTTCATCCTTCAAACCTGTTAGGGGGTGGGAGGGAATCCAGCCTGTGTTACTGCCAAAATATTCCCCCAGCTTTTTTCTCCAAATCTTGTTACAGCTTTCCACCCTGTGCAATTTGGACAGTGATTCCACATTTTCTCTACACTGCTCTGGCACTATTAACACACAGGCAATGAAGGGGTGTATTCTTGGGTAGGATGACTGCCATTTTGAAAGGCAGCAGGCCACACCAAGTAGTCCAGTGGGAAGAAGGTCAAGGGAGCAGGTTGTAGGGATGAACGTGGGTGGTGACAGGAGAGAAACTGGAAAAACTGATGGTTAGGAATAAAGCCTGCAAGTGATTTAGTATGGAAGGCATAGGGAAGAGATGGAAGCACTAGAAGTACGTGAATAGGTGGTTCCCCACTTGGTGAACAAGAAATCTGTGAGGTCCTCATCTTTATAATCAGATGCTAGAATATAACAATAACCATACAGGTGTCCAGGAATTTTTTGAATGGTTGAACAAAATCATTACTTCTGCATTTTGTTTGAACATTGTGGACTTTAAAAGTCCTAGACATTTTGACAGATTGTGGATTTTAAAAGTCCACAATCTGCGAAAAGGTCTAGGACTTAATTTTTATTTCCCCGAAATGAGTAAAGACTGATTCCTAAACATAAAACACACAGTAAAACATAATGTTATGGCGGCTGATGGAAGAGTATATGTGAAATCATCGCAAGATTTCACTTTATAGAAAGAGATCTATCTTTATGGAAAGAGATCTATCTGGAATCAATCATTTCAGAGGCATTACGCTTAAGCTTTTACAGAATAGATAGGCATAAGATGCAGAGTTGAATTATTTTCACTAAATTGGTTATGGTTGGGAAGCACTGGAACTCCAGATACATAAAATGTAACCTTTTTCTTCCAGGCACAGAAATTCAAGTGGTTCAAAAATTTGGTAATATTTTATCAATTAATATGCAATATTTGAATTTATGAAATCTCTCATACCTGAAATTTGGTGCAGAAGCCCACTCCAATGCCAGACATGCTAGATCCACAAAGGCATAGACCAAGAGAAAAAAGATGGTCACTATCCCAGCAATAGTATTCAATTTTCCAGTAAACAACACAAGCTGGGAAAGCAAAAGAATACACAACTTTAATGCCACAAAGTTAACAAGCATGCACTCAATTTTCTATTGAAATCGCAGACCTCAGAATCCTTACAACACCAGACAACACTAATTCAATTACAAATACAAATACAAATCAGTGGAAAATAGTTGCTAATTTTTTTTTTTTGCCTTCTGACAACGCAAAACCCATTTCTTGTCTTGTCAAAGCTACCTTAAGAAGGTCATGATTTCTCCTTGGAGTTGAATGTAGATCAAGGGTATAATAAAATAAACAATTGCTGTAATCTTAATAACACACCACCTGCCAGAGGGTATCAGGTGCTAACATGAGTGAAGGAGTTCTGTTATAAGTCATTGTATATAATACAAATACATCATTTTACACAAATGGGATGCCAAGTTGTAATAGTATTCAGGCTACCTTCATAAACAATGTAAACAGATGATTTTAAAATATAATGCTAAAACTGTTGACACTTAGCACAGAATAAGATATTGCATGATCTCCAGTAATAAATAGCAATATTCCCATCATTGTTTTACAACATGGAACTAACCATTTTGCTCATCAATCTGCAGTTTTCTTATGAAAGACCAATTTAATACCACACTCTGCTTTCTTCTTTAATATTATTCTTTTCCGAGCACCTATTGATCATCTTAAACACCTAATGGAGTATGCATCAACAACTGTTTGCAGCATAAAATTCCACTTTGTGGCAATCCTCAACATAAAAATATTCTTCAAATCTTCCCTTCAATTCTATTTTGGATCATCTTAAACACATGCCGCTTTTTAACGTCCCACGGATTAGTGCAGACAATCATAATCAACAGCTTGGGATAATTAGTTATATTGAAAATTTCTATCAGATTACTTCCTAATCTTATCATCTCAAGTGAAAATAGCCTCAACCTTTAAATGGCTTCTTGTAACTGTAATCCTCCAAACCACGAGTAGCTATACTGAAAACAAGCTAATGTTTCGAATCTAGATAACTCTTCATCAGAGCTGAAGAGTCATCTAGACTGGAAACGTTAGCTTGCTGTCTCTCCATGGATGCTGTCTGACTCGCTGTGATCTCCAGCATTGGCTGTTTTCAGTACAGATTCCAGCATCTGCTATTTGCTCCTACATGTGTAGCTATATTGTTCTTTTTCCTTTGATTTTCATTACTCCCATAATAGAGTGACTAAAACCACAAATAATTCTCCAATTGTAGCTAGATAAAATATTTGCTCAAATTTAACATTGGCAGAATTAGAAAGGTATCAACTCCACTTTCATCAGCAGTAGGGGTTAGAGTGTACAATCCTGATGAGTACAAATGAGAAGTCAGACTATACACTGCTTGCTCTCAATGTTCTAAAAAAAATGGACTCTACGTAGTTAACCAACTCTATGAAAGAACCAAAAGAAACCTTCCTGTATGTATTGGTAGCTCCAGTTATCTACTTGATAAAGCCAACCCATAACTATGCCACACGTACCCAATCTATGATCTCTACCAGTTAGCTAATTTCAGTAGGGCAGTGTGTCAAAGATATTACAATTACCCCCAGCAACTCAGGACTATGGAAAGGTTGGAATGCAAGAAAAACAAACTGCTCATGCCGCCTTTTTTTAAAAAAATCATTACAGGAGATACATTTAACTTGGTGACAAATTTTCTCTCCAAAGTACATCTATCATTTAGTACCTTCATTCATAGTCACACTACTTGAATAGGATAGATTCAGAAGATTGCCCTCTCTGTCCCAGGGAGCCTTCATTCACAGATAATATGCATGTTGATCCAGAAATATCAATAGGTTGGTTAAAAGGTGTATGTTTCATATAATTCTAACTGTATCCATTTTTCCCCAAACTACCTTGTGTAACGTGTTGAATGCAACTTGAATTGTAGCTATTTTGAATGTAAATTTTATACAAAAATAAGGGAATTTGTTTGAAGATCTCAGTAGAATTATTGTGCCAGTTACTACTTAAAGCAGGTTTGAAAGCATGCTGTGAATTTGCACTAGTTTTGCATCAGACTAGAAGCTTGTACAATCTGCTGACATTGTGGAGCAGGGAAAACCTAATTGAGTGGGGTCTAACCCGTAGCACTGAGGAAATGAAAAGAAAATAAATTAGTAAATAATCTGTTGCAAATATGACTGGATTCCCTTTTAAAATATAATACAAAGACCACCTTTCATTTGGTGTTTGCTTAGAAAGGGAGCCAATAATGAGTTTAACATTGGGAATTTCTCAGATCGGACCATGACTCTTCTCAGCACCCGAATACATAAATTTACCCACAAAAAATGTTAAATGCTCAGTACCTGGTGCATACTATTAGGTATCCCCAAGGGACAAGCGTCCATTATATCTAAAAGGATTTCTATTTGTCTTCAATATGATTTTAGGTTATGCCCATGATTGAATAGAATATGATTTCACTTCCATAAATTCAATTTCAAACTGAGTTCCTTGTCTGGATAATACTGAGTTAGACATCTGTCTGACAAATGGAGAACTTATTCCTTTTTTCATTTTTTTCTTGATTTGTTTCAATATTTTTATAATTGCATTGACAATGTCCTTCCAGATCCTTGGTGATGATCCTCTGAGAACAGGGGTTAAAGTGAAATTAATGCTGTGTAATCTTAAAGCCTACACCCCTACCTCCTCCAAAGTGTTCAAATTGAAGAAACTCAAGTGATTTTACCATTTCTAATCTTACAATTACAACAGGCTGTTTAAGGAAGAGTCAAAAGCATCTGAAATAGACAAGTGAAGTTTACTGTTGCATGATCTTCAATAATTTTGGTAAATTAGATTAGAGGTTTCTCTTCTGCAAACAATATCTCAAATACTATTTTGTTTTATTCTTTCGCAAGATGTTGTATCATTGGCTAGGTCAGCATTTAATGCCCATCCTTAGTTGCCCTTGAGAATGTGGTGGTGAGCTGCCTTTTTGACTCACTGCAGTCCATTTGATGTGGGTACACTCATAACACTGTAAAGGAGGGAGTTCCAGAATTTTAACCAAACTGTGACATGATTTCCAAGTTAGGGTGGGTTTGGCTTGGAGAAGAATTTGCACGTGGTGGTGTTCCTATAGATCTGCAGCCCCTGTCCTTCTGGATGGTAGTGGTTATGCTGAAGGATCCTGCATAAGTTGCTGCAGTCCAATCTGTAGATGCTGCTACCATTGGTCATGGAGGAAATAAACGGCAAAGGTTTTAGGTGAGATATCAATCAAACCGGGTCCTTCGTTCTGTATAGTGTTGAGTCACTTGAGTGCTACTGAAACTGCACAAACAAGTGGGAAATATTCTATCACATTCCTGAATTGTGACCTCATTTAGGGAGTCAGGAGGCAAGTTAATCATCACCGAATTCCCAACCTCTGACCTGCTCTTGTAGCTGCAGTTTTAAAAGGCTAATCCAGTTCAGTCTCTGGTCAATGATAACCCGCAATTTTTTTTAAAATAGTAGTGTACTCTGGGATGGCAAAGCTATTGATTTTCAAGGGGTAGATGGTTAAAGTTCTCTCCTATTGTAGACGGTCATTACTTGACATGTGTGTGGCATGAATGTTACTTGTCACGTATCAGCTCAAATCTGAATGCCATCCAGGTCTAGCTACATTTGAATACAGATCGCTTCAGTGTCTGAAGAGGCATGAACGTACAGTCCTTCGTGAACAACCTGATTTCTGACTTTATACAAAAGAGAGAAGATCGTTGATGAAACAATTGAAGATGGCTGCGCCTAGGATACAACCGTAAGGAGCTCCTGCAATGTCGTCTTGGGATTGAGATGAAAGATATCCAAAACAATCATGCTCTTCTTCCTGTGCCAGCATGACTCTAGCCAGAGGAATGTGTACTCCCAATTCCCATTGACTCTAGGTTTGCTCAGAATCCTTGATGTCACACATGAAATGCCATTACTATCTTGATGCTAAAGGGCAGTCAACCCTCACCTCCCATCTGGAGTTCAGCTCACTTGTCCATGCTTGGACCAAAGCTCTAATGAGATCAAGAGCAGATTGGCACAGGCAGAAGACAGAGTGTTGGTGAGCATGTTATTGTTGAGTAAGTGCTGCTTGATACTGCTGTCAATAACACTTTCCACCACTTCAGTGATGGTCAAGTGCACACCAAATGGACTAATTATTGCCTGGGTTGGATTTCTCCTGCTTTTTGTGCACAGGACACACTGACAAACTTCCACATTGTTGAGTAGACATTATTGACATAACTGCAGTAGAACACTTGTCTAGTGGCACAGATAGTTCTGGAACACACACCTTCTGTACTATTATGGGATGCTGTTAGGGACCACAGCCTTTGAAGTGTTATGTCCCTCCAGTCATTGTGCCCGAGTTCTGGCATTTGAGGGGCAGGCAACCTTAGGAGAAGGCTAAGATTGATTATCCATTTAGCACTTAAGGCTAAAGAGTGCACAAGCATCTTCAGTCAGGCTCCCTCATTATAGAGAATGGGGATATTTGTGGATTTCCTTCCCTTAAGGGCATTCATGAACATTACCAATTCCAGATTTAGAGTTTGAATAGAAATTCCCCCAGCTACCAAGATGGGATTTAAATCTTGATCCCCAAAGCACAACTGTGACTCTGGATGCATCTACTGCTGCTAGATTAGGTAAGACAAGGTCACGTATGTTTCCCTTGTTGGTTCCCTCACCAGTCTAACAGCCACATCCTTTAGGATTCGACCCGCTCGGGCAGTAGAGGTGCATTTGAACGTTGAAGTCTTCCATCCAGAGTAAGAAAGTGCTATTCCAGATGGAGGAGGACTGCCTAATCAGCTCAGGTCAGAGTGATAGCCAGTAATCAGGGGGTTTCCTTGCCCGTGTTTGACCTGATGTCACGAGGCTTCTTTGAATCCAAATTTAATGTTGGCAGCTTTCAGGGAAAATCCCACTTGACTCTCTACCACTGTGCACCACTGTGGTGTGGCTGGATGCATCCTGGGATGGT